ACTGAGCCAAACCGGTCTCGGCCCGGCCACACTTCTTAACTGTCCTGTCCACCAGGCAGTACAAGCCTCCCACCCCCTGCAGGGCCAGCCCTAGGGCTGGACGAGTGCCCTCCAGGGTCCCTTCAGGGCCCAGGCAGGGTGGCTTCTTTGGGCGACTCTGCCCAGTGTGACCCCATTGTCCCAGGGCAGTGCCCACTCCTGGGCTGGGGAAGGAGCAGTGTGCCCGGGACAGCAGCCTGAGGCCCTGGGCCTGGAGACCTGCCTGCTCACGCCGCCTTACCAGTTCCAGGAGCTCTCTCTCTGCTAAAAAAATAAAGGGCTCCTTGCCCTCTGTCCCCTCCAGCTGCTGACATCACTGACTGGTGGGGTGGGGCTGGGTGGTGTGCCCTGCTGGTCCCGGAAATCCCAACCTCTCGAGCTGGTTTTTAAAGTTTCTGAACTTGCCCGGCCGGCGTGGCTCAGTCATTGAGCATCGACCTATGAACCAGGAGGTCACAGTTCGATTCCCAGTCGGGGCACAGGCCCGGGTTGTGGGCTGGATCCCCCGTGTGGGACGTGCAGGAGGCAGCTGATCCATGATTCTCATCATGGATGTTTCTCTCTCTCTCTCCCTCTCCCTTTCTCTCTGAAATCAATAAAAGTTATTAAAAAAAATAAAGTTTCCAAACCCGGGGCCCCCCAAACCACCATGAGACGCTGTGGGGATCCTCATTTCTCTAGGAGAGACCCTGTCGTTCGTCCCTGACCCTCGTCCAGCCCACGGGGAAGTCACCTGGAGGCTGGGAGGGCTCCGCCTCTTGTCCACACCCTGCCTGCTCGGGCCTCAGTTGTCCTCAGTCACAGGAACGGGGCTCCTCACCCGCCCCTGCCTGGTCCTGCCACCAGAGGGCAGGTGGCCCCCTGGAGAGCCCCAGGCTCCGGGCTGCTGGCACAGAGGGAAGGCAGTGGCCGCTTGGCACACCTGGATGGACGAGGGCCCCAGGGCACCCACAGGGCATTGGGTGACCCCACTCAGGACCCAGCTCAGCCACCGGGCGGGTGAGGCCAGGCGCTGGGACTCTGGGAGAGCTCGTCCCAGCGGGCGGGAAAGGCCTGGGCCTGCAGACGGGGAGGGCATGCAGGAAGGCCTGGCGTGGAGGGGAGGGTGCGGGTGTGCAGTGGAAGCCATGGCACCTTAGGCCATGCCCTTGCTGGACCCCTTCCCGGGCTCCCTGGGACGGGCCGGAGAAGCCTCAGGCCCCACAAAGCTGGCTCAGCCAGGCCAGGTCCTGGGGTCACGGCGGAGGGTCGGGGTGGGGGGGTGGCCCACTGAGATGGGTGCTAGGCAGAGATGGCAGGAAGTTCCGTCCCAACTTGAGGGGGGAAGGGGGCCTGTCATAGGATGGGGAGCCCTGGAGGCAGAGGGTGTCCCAGGCAGCGGAGGCACCTGTGGAGGCCGGGAGCTGGGGAGGTGGGACTGAGAGAACAGCAGAAGCGAGAGCAGCGCCCGAGAGGCGGATGTGGCCGCCCTGCCCACCTCCAAGGACCAGGAGGCAGACAGGAAGCCCAGGCCCCGAGGCACCAGGCTGCAGGCCCTGCCTGTGGGCTTGGCCTCAGGATCTGGGTCACCAATGAGGCTCATCTCCTCTGGCCTCCGGGAGCCGCTCCCAGGTCCCATAGCCGACCTGGGGCTGACGACACAGGCCACAGGCACCTCCCGGCCCCGTCAGCTACGGCCAGAGCCCCTCAAAGACCCCTGGGAGCCCTGGCCGGTGTGGTCCAGTGGAGAGAGCATCGGCCTGTGGACCGCAGGGTCCTGGGTTCGATTCCGGTCAAGGACACGTAGCTCGTTGCAGGCTCCTCCCTGGTCAGGGCGCGTGGAGGAGGCAACCCATCGATGTGTTTCTCTCACACCCATGTCTCCCTCTGTGTTTCCTCCTCTCGTCCACGCTCTCTAAAATCAATGGGAAAATATCCTCGGGTGCGGATTACAAAAAACAAAAGGCCCCTGGCCCCTGGGCGGCTCGGGCCTGGATCTCCCCGGGGCCTGCAGGCAGGTGCTGCCCTTAATCAGGAAACCTCAGGATTGCTCTGAGCTGCGAGCACAGAGATGCGGGCGCTGCCCCCACACTGGCTGCGGGGCCCCGGGGGGCAGAGCCCTGGGTTGGGGACCCTGAGGGCAGGACCTGAGGCCCAGTGGGAAGTGCCTCTGGCGTCCGCCATCCACTCCGACCGGAGGAAACCGAATTTCCTTAACGTGACCTCTGCCCCTGCCCTCCTTTTGTTCAGACTGGCCTCCCAGCACTGACCCGCCCCTCCCTCTCCTGCAAGTCAGTCCCTGCCTTTCGTCTCAGGCCGGGGGACAGCGAGGCCCTGGCTGACCGAGTGACCTTAGTCACAGCCTGCGTGGGCCGCTCAAACCGGAGACTGCGTCCGGGCTCAGGAGTGCCCGCCCCGTCCAGGCCTGTGAAGCGGGAAGACCACCGGCCACACCCCGGGGAGGCTGCAGAGCGAGGTCACGACCCCGAGCTCAGTGCGACCCTCGTCCCTTAGTCCCTGCGTGACCCACCTTGGGCAGCCATGGCGGGCCAGGTTTTATTTCTTTATTTTTATTTATTAAAATATATTTTTATTGATTTCAGAGAGGAAGGGAGAGGGGGAGAGAGCCAGAAACATCCATGATGAGAGAGAATCATGGATCTGCTGCCTCCTGCGCGCCCCACACTGGGGATGGAGCCCACAACCTGGGCCTGTGCCCTGGCCCGGAATAGAACCATGACCTCCAGGTTCCTGGGTCAATGCTTAGCCACGAGCCACACCAGCCGGGCTCAGGTTTGGTTTTGCTAAAGGGGCTGCAGGGCCTGTGGCCTTGTGAGGACTGAACACATTCAATGAGCAGAGAAGCCAGCAGCTTGAGCCGGAGGGACAGGAAGGGGCTTGATGGGGTGAGGAGCTGCGGGAGCCCCAGGCCGAGGGGTGTCCTCTGAGCAGGGAGGCCACCTGCCTGTGACCAGTGTGTCCTCTGGGAGACCAGGGGGGCTCTGGAGGCCCAGAATGCTGCCCCCCCCCCCGGGGTGATCTGAGAATCTGCAGAGGACTCCCTCCACCAGGCGACAGGGCAGGAGGAGGAGGGGCAGGAAGAGATGTGCAGGTGGCGAGCGGGGTGCAGCGCCCAGGGTGGGGGAGGCACCGTGGCTGCGGCAGGGCCAGGGCCTGGCTCACGGCCCACGCTGGGGCTGAGCCTGAGGCTGGGACTTGAGCTGGGCCTGGCCTGCGGGTGGCTGTGGTTGTGGGGGTCCATGCTGACTTACCCACTGGCTGCCTGATTTATGGGGTCGGGTGTGAGAGACACAGAACTCAGGATGTGGTCTCAGCTTGTGTGATGGTGAGCAGATCGGGCTTGGAGGATGGGGCTGCAGAGCTGAGCGGGCCGGGGGCGGATGTGCAGCCAGTGGGGGCGTGAGAACTTGGGGGGTGCTGCAGGCCCAGCAGCCTTTTCCTGCACCCCGACTGCAGCCCCCAGCCCAGCCGCACCGCAGCCTCACAAAACCTCGCCTCCTCTGTGGCAAGGCAGACGGGTGCGGGCGAGGAGAGGCCTGGGGGAGAGGCCTGGGGGAGGGGCCGCAGACCCGTAGGGGCCCGTGGGGCCCGGACAGTCTGAGAGCGGCCCAGTGTCTGGCTGAGGCCCTGCTCCTCCCCAGGACTCTGGGCACTCACACCCGAAGGCGAGGGCTGCACCCCTCCTCTCGCCCCGGCCGGCCAGCCTTGGCGAGGGCCTCATGGACAAAAACGGGGCATGAACTCAACCTGACAAGTTCAGGAGAGCCTGGAGGCGGCCTTTGAACTCAGAGACCAAAGCAGCCACACAGGGTGGTCTGACCTGACAACCTCCTCCCTGACAGTGAGTCATGGGGAGGCCGGGTCTCCCTCCACAGGTTCATCTGTCACTAAACCTGTTGTCTCTGCAACTCGGACGCCACACCTTCCACCCTCTTCCAGGCCACAGGCCAACCGCTGCCCAGGGACGGGACCACGGAGCCTGGCTGCCGTCTTGTCCCGAACACCATCTCCAGGGCCTCTGAGTGCTCGTTGCTGACTGTCCGGTACCCACCGGCATCAGAGAAGCGTTTTTCTCTTCATTTTCCCTTTTTGTTCTTTTGTTAATCCTCTCCTGGGGATACTTTCCCATTGCTTTTTAGAGCGAGTGGAAGGGACGGGAGAGACAGGGAGACATCGATGGGAGAGAGAGAGACAGCGACTGGTTGCCTCCCCCACATGCAATCAAGGTACCTGCCCCGACCGGGATTCGAACCCGGAACCTTTCAGCCCATAGGCCGGCCGACGCTCTGTCCACCGAGCCAAACCGCCTAGGGCTCCGCTTTACTTCTCGTCCAGCCCAGGCGTCTCCCTGCCCCGCTCTCTCCCACCGCCCTGACCTCACCGGCGGTTTCAGGGAGCCCCGTCCGTCTGCGCCTTCGAATCGGACGTATGAGACGAGAGCCGAACGCATGCCTTTCCCTGGCACCTGTTCTCAGTCCGTGGAGACCTTGCTTTCCAGCAACTGTCATCAGTTTGGCTCCAGTAAACTCGAAAATTCTTACAGGTTTGGACGTTTCTTACGTTGGCAGCCTCGACCCCTGTGGGTCCGCCAGGGCGTCCAGAACCGATGGTTCTCCTGGGCCCCCGGCCGCCCTCTCTCCCCGAACCCGTCCGGGGGACTCACTGCCCGCAGCCACCCTCGTCCTCAGCCGCAGGACAGCTGCCCTCGTGGGGTCACAGGGCTCCTGGCCTCCCCCCCCCACCCCCACCCCGAGCCCCTGCCCCCGCCTCCCTGCACCCTCGGAGGCCGCCAGACACAGGCGCACCCCCTGCTCTGGGCCAGCTCCGTGGTGCCGGGCGGGGGGTGGACTGAGGGTGCCTGTGTCCCCTCCTGGTGGCCGGGGTGGCCCAGGAGGAGGCCTGAGGGGTGCACAGCGTGAAATTGTTGACGGTGGGGGGCTCTGTGCAACCAGAGAGAAGGCAGTGAGTTTGTAACAGAGAACGGATGAGTGTGTCATTAATTTAAAAATACCATTTCCAGGACTCTGCATGTGTGATGCTTTTATTTTATTTCTTGGCCAATCCTCACCAGAGGACATTTTCCCATTGATTTTTAGAGAGAGTGGAAGGGAGGAGGGGAGAGAGAAACATCGATGGGTTGCCTCCTGCAAGGGCCCAGCTTGCTATTGTGCCCGACTTTGCACCTGTGATTTCACATCGGTTTCCTTCGCAGCCCTTCCCTCTGCAGGAGCCGAGCCCCCTGTGCCCGGCGGACTCCGCCTCCTCACTGTTTGTGGGGCGGCTCCCTGGTCTCGAGGAGCCAGGCCTGGTTGAGAGGGGACCCTGGAGTCCATGGGAGGAGAGAAACCCTTTGTTTCTGGCAAGCCTGGGTCAGGCCAGGTGACTCAGCACACAGTCCACTGGCCAGGTGCGCCCGCTGCCTGAGCCCAGCTGGTCCCTGTGAGGGGAAGGGCGGCTTTGGTCTCTGGCGGCTCCCAGGGGCCGGGGGCAGTCCACGGGGTGAGCAGGGCAGCCTTGAGGGTGCGAGGCAGGCACGGAGAGCTTCCTGGAGGAGGTGCCAGGAGCAGCGCGGGGCAGTGGCCCGGGGGCCTGGCTCACTGGTAGTGGTTGGCGATGGAGATGGTGTTCCGGCGGCTGCAGGACATGTCTTCATAGATCACACCGGCCGTGCTTCTCTCCCGCGCGGGGCACATGTTCCTGATCTGCAAGGGAAAGCCTGTTTCTGCAGGCAGTGGGGGGGGGGGGCGAGGATGGCCGTGACCTCGCCCCCAGGGACCGTGTCAGGAAGAAAGGGGCCTGTGCTGGCACCGGGGCCCAGGTGCCCACCTCCCCGTCCACTCCCACCTCGGACAGGTCCACACAGGCTCACACACCGATGTCACGCTCTGCACATGCACACGCACACACGCACGCACACGCGCACGCACGCACGCACACGCGCACACACGCACATGCACGCACACACACACATGCACACACACGCACGCTCGGTCACACCCGGGCTTCACCCCTTAGACGCCGACCAGGACGGGCCCAGCCCCTGAGCATCCTGGCCCCTGAGTCCTTAGGGCTCCTGGCGGCTCCAGTCCTGGGGTTCCTCTCCCAACGTGGTCCTGGGGGCCCCCAGGGAGGTGACACGTAGCCCCTTTTCTCCCTTCCCTGCTCCCGGGGCAGCCGGCTTGCGGGGACAGTGACCGTGTGGGGTCACACTGACCTGTCTCCTCTTCAGCACACACATGGCGGCCAGGCCCAGCACGACCAGGAGGCAGCCCAGGGCCAGGGCCACGGGGAAGGTGAAGCCGGTCAGCTGAGTCCCGAGGCAGGCGCTGGCCTCTGGGGACAGTGTGTCTGGGAAGAAGTGGGGAGAGTCCATGAGAGCCTTCAGGGTGCAGGTGCAGGTTGTGGGGGGGCTCCCCAGTGGGGGCAAAATCCAGGAGGCTCCCTGGAGGAGGCGGGCTGAAGCTGGAGGAAACAACTCCCCGAGTGGGGGGAAGCGGCCCAGGAGGGGCAGGGAGAGCCGGTCTGGCCGGCAGGGCGGGCAGTGGCCCCGAGGGTGGGCGCGCTGCCTACCTGTCACCACCAGCGTGGTGCCGGCGCCCCAGCCCTGCCCGTCCTCCGCGATGGCCTCGCAGAAGTAGGCGCCGCTGTCCTCCGGCCGCAGGCGCTGCATGGTGATGGTCAGGTTGTCCATGGTCCCCGAGAAGACGACGCGGCCCCGGAACCGCGCATCCACAGTGGGGGTGCTCTCGTCGTCGTAGTACGTCACCTTCCGCATCTCCGGCAGGTGGCTCTGCCTCAGGTGGACCCCCAGCAGGGTCCCGCTCACGCGGACAGAGCAGGTGATGTTGATGGAGCCCCCCTCTGGGGTGACCGTGTAGAGGGGGGACTGCCTCACCTCTGCAGGGAGGACCCGCACTGTCACCGCCGGCCAGACCCCGCTCTGCAGGGGACGGCGGCAGGGAGAAGGGGCCGCAGACACGTCCCCACAGGCGAGGCCCCTCATGGGAGCCTGAAGCTGCTCCAGGCGCCAGCACGGGGGGAAGGGGGGTTCAGGTCTGGATTCTGAAGGGTCCCTGGGGGTGTGCAGTGGCCTCTCCTGCCAGGGTCGGGCGGGGGCAGCTGGAGCTGGGCTTTCTTTCTTCCGGAGCAGCCGGCTCTTTGCAGGGCACCCTGACCCCTCCCACCACCACCATCTCTCTCTCAAATGACAGCCCAGGGCCCGGCCGGTAGCTCTGCTGACCACAGGGTCGTCCTGGTACATCAAGGTTCCCGGTTCGATCGCAGGGCAGGGCACGCACAGGAATCAACCAGTGCGTAAGTGGGACAGCAAGTCCATGTTTCGCTCTCTCTCAAGTCAGTCAATAAATTTACAATTTTAAGTTAAATGGCAGTCCCCAGGATAGCCGGAAAGAGGAGCGCGGACCGGCTGCCTCCCGCACGCGCCCGGACTGGGAAGCGAGCCGCCACCTTTGGGTGTTGAGACGATGCTCCAACCAGCTGAGCCCCCGCCTGGGGCGACACAACCTCTGTAACGGGGTCCAACCCTCAGCGTCTCGGTCAAATCCTGCCACTCTGGGGGCACAGGGTGGTGCCTGCTAAGCCCGCCCCGCCCCTCGGGGTGACTGGTCTCCCTGTCCTGCTGCAGAACTGCCCGCGTGTCTGGTTGAAAAAGCAAACCAGGCCCGGCAGTGTGCTCAGCGGGTGAGCGTCAGCCCAGGACCCAGGTCACAGTTCCGTCCCGTCGGGGCACAGGCCCGGGTGGCGGGCGCGATCCCCCGTGTGGGGCGTGCAGGCGGCAGCCCACCAGTGCTCTCTCTCATCATGGATGTGTCTCTCTCCCTCTCCCTGCCTCTCTGAAGGCAACAAGAACACACACTAAAAAGCAAAAAGCTAAATGACAGCCCGTCTGTGGGGTGCTGGCTCCCTGTGGAAGGACCAGACCCCGAGGGAAGACACAGGATGCAGCGCCAGGCGACTCGGCGCCCAGCAGCCTGTCCAGGCCCCACCCGCCCACCCGCGTGGGAAGGAGCGCCCCTGGCAGGGGTGCAGGCGGCAGGAGGGGAGCTGGGCCCACAGGGGGCCTGGTCAGGCCTTACCTGCAGCAGCCGGGGCGGCGGCGACAGCCAGCACCAGGAGCACGGGGAGCAGAGGCAGCCGCGGGGCCACGCTCACTGCCATCCTGCCCACGGCCCAGCGGCTGGGGCAACGCAGGGCCCCTCGGGCAGCAGCAGCAGTGACTCTCCCAGTCCAAGACCCAACTGTGTGCCAGAGCCTCGGGGGCCGCCCCAGAGCCCCATGAAAGGTCACTTCCTGGGTGGGCGGGGCAGGAGGCTGGCAGCGAGGGGGGTGGAGGTGCTGGGGCCTCGGAGGGCTTCCTGGAGGCAGTGCCCTGGGTGGACAGGACCCTGAGGCCCAGGCTGGGGGGTGGCCCCCTGCTCCCCACTGTCCTGCCGAGTGCCCTCAGGCTGCGGGTTGTCCTGGCCCCTCCCCGGCCGCATCTCCTCAGGGCACACCAGGGCAATGGAGACAGCAGGGTGGGGGCCCAGGGCCAGGAGGAGGGCCTCTGGCTGGGGTGGGGTCAGGCTCCTGCTGCCTGGTCCTCTGGGTCATCCTCTACTAGGACCTGCCTCGTACCGAGAGACCTGGCTCTCACCGCCGTCGCCGCAGTGGGGGCTGGAGGGGGCAGATTCGCTGTCCTTAGCGAAGGCCTTGAACACAGACAGCGGGAGACAGGCCCACGCACAGACCCAGACTCCGTTCTTCCCAGGAGTCCTGCCGGGTGTGCGGGGCCCTCACCATCACCTCAAGATTAAAATGACTTTTTTGTTTTGCTTTGCTTTTTGTTGTTGTTAATCCTCACCCAAGGATACCTTTTCCGTTGATTTTTAGTGAGAGAGTGGTGGTGGTGGCGGGGGAGAGGAACATGGATGTGAGAGACACATCGATTGGTTGCCTCCCGCATGTGCCCTGAGCAGGGCTGGACCGAACCTGTAACCCCGACACGTGCCCGTGCCCTGGACCGGGAACCAAACCCGAGACCCTCGGTCAGCAGCCGGTGCTCTAACCACGGAGGAAGCCGCCAGGGCTCAAGGCGACCTTTGATTTCCCCTGCAATGCAGCCTTCTCCGGTCGGCTTCGGGCCGATGGAAACCCCTAACTTCCTGTGGCCCCGGGGCAGGGGCCTGGGTGCCCTGCCCGTGCCTGCGGCCAGCCATGCCCCTGCGGTGGCACAAGCCAGGCCCTGCAGTGGCCGAACCCACTTTAACCCCCAGGGGTTCTGGGGTCGCCGTGGGGAGGGGCCGCCGGACGGCCAGAGCCCGGCTCCCTGATGCCTGAGCGGGTTAGACTCAGCACGAAGCGGCTTCTTTTAGTTTCTACGTATTTTTCCATTAAAATGTGTATTTCCCTGATTGCTGGGCGGTTCGCTGATCATGTTGTTTTACTCACTTTAAGAGTTAGCGTTGGGGCCCAGCTGGTGTGGCTCAGGGGTGGAGTGGTGACCGATGACCCAGAGGTCAGGGCTGGATTCCCGGTCAGGGCACAGGCCCGGGCTGCAGGCTCCAACCCCAGTGGGGGGCGTGCGGGAGGCAGCCGGTCCATGAGTCTCTCTCCTCATTGATGTGTCTCTCTCTCCCTTCCTCTCTGACATCAATAAAGATATACTTTTTAAAAAGTTGGCCTCAGGGGTGTTTTTCAAAGCACCAAATACACTACTTGTAGGAAAGCTCTGATGCCCTTGGTGAAGATGGACTCCGTTCGGTGCGATGGTGAAGGGTGTGGCCTGAGCGGTTTCGGGGTGGGGAAGGGCCAGCGGACAGGGCAGAGGGGGAGCCGTGGGGCTGGGTGGGCACCGTGGGCACCGTGGGCACAGGCCCTGCCCACCGCTAACGCCGCCGCGGCCTGCCCGCCTCTTTCCAGAGGGACGTGCGCCCCCTCGTGGTGGAGGCGGCACACAGCGTCTCGGGCCTCTAACCACCGTCTTGGCCCAGTGGCTGCGGCAGGAGGGTCCCCAACACTCACTCCTGCTCAGAGTCGAGCAAAGACTGTGCACAAGATCAACTGCAGACCAGCCTGGAGCGTGTTGGAGGCACAGCTGGTCCCCAGGAGCCCCTCCCCCCGCCCAGGAAGGGGGTGCAGGAGGGGCTGGTCCCCTTAGGGCAAGGGCTTTGGAGCTCGAGGTGTTTACATTTTCGATGGTGGGGGAGGAGCAGAGGGGGCGGGAGGAGCAGGGCTGGCCCCTGGCTCTGCTGTGAGTGGCCAGCAGGCCTGCTCTCCAGGGGGACCGTCCTGGGTGGGGCACGGAGCTCCCTCGCTGAAGGCCCCTGCGCACGGCCAGGTCTCCTGCCAGTCCACGGACGGGTCCTGCCTCCCTGGGCACCTCAGGCATCCGCCCACCAGACGGGGGCAGGGGCGCAAGGAGGCTCCGCTGCTGGGGGGTCGGCAGTCTCGGGGGGGGGGGGTGGCTTCAGGGGCTGGATTCCAGGGCCAGGCAGGCCTGCTCACCCTCTGCATGGGCACCGCCTCCTCACCTGGGGAGGGAGGGAGGGAGGGGGCGTGAGTGACCGGGCTGTGCATGCTCAGGCACACGCAGACACGCGTGTGCCCGTGTCCCGGGTCTCAGGGAAGTCCAGCCCCATACTGCCCTCCAGGGTGTCCTGGGGACAAAGCGGGGGCCGGTGGCCGGTGGGGTCCTCTGGGGCCCTGTACTCCCTCCACTTCCCGCCCAGCCACCGGCCAGGGCCGGGCCTGGTACCTACAGGAACTGAAAGTGCGAGGGGCGCCCACGGCTCCTGCGCCAGAACTGCAGGCCTCCCAGTGCCAGGACGCAGAGCAGCATGGGGACCAGGATGAGGGCCACGTGCAGCCGCCCCGGGGGCGGGTCCTGGGCCGAGCGCAGGTCCTGGGCCGGGAGGGGGTCCTGGGCCAGGAGGGGGTCCTGAGTCCCTATGGCAGCAGGAATCAGGGGGGCGGCCACGGCCACCTGGAGCACCCCCAGGGGGACGGCACCCCAGCCAGAAGCCCAGGGACAGACAGTGTGCAGGGAACGGGGTGTCCAGGCGCCCGTGGGGGGCCGGGGCTCCCCCGCTGCAGCTCCGGAGGACACTTACCCCAGGGGGGCATGGAGGGCAGCTCTGAAGGCTCTGCAGGGAGACAAGGGTGGTCAGGGGGTCCCGGGGGGCCGGCCTGAGGCAGCCCCACCTCCCCATCTGGCCCAGGGCAGGGCCCACGCCCCCCGCCGTCCCCCTCAGGCCAGGCATGGGGCTGAAGGCCAGGAGGCGGGGAGAGGCTGTGGAGACTTCAGTGCTGAGCAAAGGAAGATGGCGGGGTGGCGAGGGGGACTTAGGGGACGAGGGGCAGAGCTCCTGGGCGGACAGGACCAGGGAGGGTGTCCAAGCACAAGGGGGGCCCCGGGACTGAGGGGGCTGGTGTTCCAGGAGGTCACAGGGGGGCACAGAGTCAGGGAGAGGCCAGGGGTTGGGGTGCTCTCAGCTGATTGGGTCCATTGTCTCACTGAACCGAAGTGGGGGGTCTTAAGGGAGCAAGGGGACAGGGCGGTGGTCGGAGAGGAGGCCCAGCGCGGGGTGGACAGTGTCGGGGGCACTGGACACGGAGAGAAATCGCAGCGACTGCGGGGACGGGACAGGAGGGGAGAGGAGGGGGGCTCCCCAGGTCTCGGGGGGGAGTCGAGGCCCCGCCCTCACCTGAAACGTTCAGGGTGGTGGATTTTAGCTCTGTCTGGCGCCCCCTGAGGGTCCACATGTACTGCCCAGCCTGGCTGTCCTGGGCTCCCTCTGTCACCATCTTCGCTGAGCATCCCTGCACACAGAGCTTCCACCCACCCCGGGAAGAGCACCCCGGGGTGGCCTGGGTGAAGATGGGGTGGCAGTCCTCCCCGCCAGGGGCCTGCAGGCAGATGCTGACTTTGCGGATGGGGTTGGAGCTGTTGCAGGTCATCTCTGCGGGCGCCCCCCTAGTCACCGACACGCCCTCCGTGCAGACGGGGTGGTCCCAGCCTGGGGTGGTGACGTTCACAGGTGGCCACTGCTGGGCCTCAGCACGTTCACCCACAGCCCGCCCCCGGGACTGCAGCTCCGGAAAAGGACACCTACCCCAGGGGGGCATGGAGGGCAGCTCTGGAGGATCTGCAGGGAGACAAGGGTGATCAGGGGTCCCTGGGGGCCGGCCTGAGGCAGCCCCACCTCCCACCCGGCCCAGGGCTGGGCCCCCCCAGACCCCCCTCAGGCCAGGCGTGGGGGCGAAGGCGGGAGGGGGGCGGGGGTTGAGGCGGTGGAGACTTCAGTGCTGAGCAAAGGACGAGGGGCGGGGCGGCGAGGGGGACTTAGGGGGCGTGAGCTTCTTCCTGAGTCCCCCACTGCAGCCCCCCTCCTTCCCCCACTGCAGCCCCCCGCGCCCGAGAGAGAGAGAGAGAGAGAGAGAGAGAGAGAGAGAGAGAGAGGTCAGACTCACCTCCTGCCCCAGCGCCCTGGGAGGTGAGTGTGAGCAGCAGGGCCCAGAGGAGCATCGTGGGGCAGGCAGGAGGTGCTGAGTCTGCGTGGCCAGCAGGACGCGAGGCCTCAGGGTCCTGGGTCCTCCCTGGTTCTCCCTGGATGAAGGGAAGCCGTGGGTCCGAGGGTGGCATGGGCCGGTGCAGGCGGGACCAGGCTCCGGACCACGGTGCCAGCGCCTACCCCCTGCCCCAAGCAGCCGTCCCCTCCCGGGGCCTCTCCAGGTGCACACGCCAGGGCCGCTGTCAGACAGAGGAGGGCGGGTAGGACAGGGAGCGGGTCCCTGGGAGCAGGACCTGCTTCATCCTGGGGTTCACCCTTCCGGTTCCAGAATAAGACTCGCACAAGTGCCTGGTGGGGTGTGGGGGGGGGGCAGGCGAGGGGGACGCTCAGCCTCAGGGGCCCTGGCCTGGCACCACCCTGCCCACCGTGGGCGCCCAGCCCGGCCCACTCCTGCGTCCAGTGCCGGGCACGGGGACACTCGGCTCCCTTACTCGCCGGAATGGACCAGAAGCTTCTTCCGAGGAACTCGCAGCTGCGACAGCGCCGACCCCACTTCCTGTGGAGCCAGGGACCATGTGGCCACAGGGAAGGTGACGTCCACCCCGAGTGCTAAGAACTACTTAAAAGCACTTGAGTCGACCTGGGAGCCAGGAGGTCACGGCTCATCTCTGGGTCAGGGCACGCGCCCAGGTGGGGGGCTCAGTCCCCAGTGGGGGGCGTGCAGGAGGCAGCCAATCAATGAGTCTCTCTCATCGTGGATGTTTCTCTCTCTCTCTCCCTCTCCCTTCCTCTCTGAAATCAATAAAAATATGTTTAAAAATAAAGTGCTTTAAAATTGCTTGTCAGACCATTTGTTGACCCTTTGATTAAAAAGAAGACTTTTGGGGGGCAGGCAGGGCAGAGGGGGTCGCCGGGGAAGGAAAGGGGACATCTGTAATTCTTTCAAGAATAAAGATAAGCCCTAACCGGTTTGGCTCAGTGGGTAGAGCATCGGCCTGCGAACTCAAGGGTCCCGGGTTCGATTCCGGCCAAGGGCATGTACCTTGGTTGTGGGCACATCCCCAGTAGGGGGTGTGCAGGAGGCAGCTGATAGATGTTTCTAATTCTCTATCCTTCTCCCTTCCTCTCTGTAAAAAATCAATAAAATATATTTTAAAAAATAAATAATAAAATAAAAATAAAGATTAAAAACCGACCGTTGGTTTTGTCGGACTCCCTGAGCCCCCCACACACACCCCCCCAGGAGCGTCTCTGCTAGCGTGTTAGCGTCTGTGTGCCACAGCGCGTGAGTCGCGCACACACATTATCACGGACTAAAGTCCACCGAGGGTTCAGGGGTCAGTCTTGGGCTGTACTCTGCCTAGCACGGCGGCCTCCTGCGCGGGTTCTCTGCCCTGGCACCTCCTGGGCACCGTGCTGGCCCCTCCCCAGCCCCCGGCGAACGCCCGTCTTTTCAGAGCCTCAGAGCTTCCCCTTCCCAGAAGCTCGTAGACTTGGGCCCCTGGGTTTTGCGTGGATTGTGTCTGACTCTTCTTTATTTACTGATTTGAGAGAGAGGAAGGGGACAGAGACACCAATCTGCTGTCCGCTTACTTCTGCGTCCCTTCTCCTTCCCTATGGGAAAGGGAAAGCGAAAGGAAAGGCCGGGCGGGCCCCAGAGGCAGAGCGCCCGTCGGTTGACTCTCGTATGTGCCCTGACCAGGGCTCGAATCCACAACCTTGGCAAATCTGGACGATGCTCTAACCAGCTGAGCTACCAGCCAGGGCCAGAATCACTGTTCTCACCTGGGAAAGATCTGACCGAGAAAATGGCGCCCAGAGGCCCGCGGGCCCGAAGGCCGTGCTGATCCTGGCGGTCTGGCCGCACCCCTGGCCGGGGCCCTGGCACCAGCGGAGGGAAGACCCTGCCTGGCCGTCCCTCCCCTGCGCCCGGGCAGCACAGGCGACAGGCCCGCAGGTGAGCAGGACGCCACGCGCCAGCCCTCCCCTCTGGCCGCCAGCCGGGCCTGGAGGCAGCCGGCAGCCCCGGGCCCAGCCTCCCCTGCTCAAGAGCCGTCTGTGGGCCTCCGAGGCCCTGAGCCCCTGTGGGACCCCCCACCTCGGTGTCTCGGGGGAGCCCTGGCCTCGGGGGCACCACTTCTGCGCCTCAGACATTGGAGGGCTCCTCGGCCCTGACACCTCCGGGACCTCGGCCTGGACCCCGGCAGAGCTTTGGCCCCACACTTGCGGGGGAGTCGGACGCGGGTCCCGTGGGTCCCGCTGGCCCTTTGCTGAGGGGCAGACACGCTCCCCAGGCCCGTCCACTCCAGCCCCGCAGAGGGGAAGGCAGACCGGAGCGTGGGCAGGTGTCCTCAGGGAACCAAAGCCTGAGGAGCCTGTGGCCACCCACACTTCAGTCCATGATAACGTGTCTGTGCCAGTGACTGCCTGGCACGCCCGTCGCGAGCCCAGTGGCACGGAGGCGGCCAGGGCCTCTGCCCAGACGTGCGCTCCTCCCGGGACCTGGGGACCCAGCGGGAGGTGGGCGCCCCCTGGCAGGCGAGATCAGGTCTTCGGAGTCAGGGAGGAGACCCCCCTCAGGACCTTCCTCTCCACACCTGTCCTGACGTGTTGGTGCTCGTCCTTCCCGATAAACCCCCATATTCCAAGCTCCAGGCCACCTTTCGGAAATGCTGGCTGAGTGCACGGACAGATGGGTCCTCACAGCCCCAGCCCTGGGAGCTCCAGCGGGGTCAGGGACTCAGCCGGCTGAGCCACCTCTTCCGTGCAGCCTTCCATGATCGCTCTGCAGCCCCTGACCCCACCCACGCCCACGCGGGCACCCAGCAAGGGGGCAGGCCACCTCAGCTGAACTGGGCAGGTCAAAGGTCAGCCTTAGCTTCCCTGGACCAAACACCACGATGAGGCAAGTGACCCCAGGGAGGTGTGTCTGCGTGTGTCAGGCTGACCACACGGGTGGACTTTGGCAGGGAGAGTGTGTTGACAAGTGAAAGGAAAGCAAAAGAAGGGCGGCCAGGCCTCGGTCACAGACAGAAGAGGGCGGCCCAGCTGATGTGGCTCAAGGGCTAGAGCGTCGGCCTGCGGACTGAAGGGTCCCCCCACCCCCTGTTCAATTCCAGTCAAGGGCACAGGCCCAGGTTGTGGGCTTGATCCCCAGTGGGGGGCGAGCAGGAGGCAGCCAATCAATGAGTCTCTCTCATCGTGGATGTTTCTGTCTCCCTCTCCCTTCCTCTCTGAAATCAGGAAGCTTAAAAAAAAAGAGGGTGAACTCCAGAGACCTCACTGCCCGGCCTGGCCACCTTTGCTGTCGGGCATTTGCCTGCCGCCTCCAGGCCCTGCCCGCCTCCCCATCCCCAACCTGCTTGGTTTTCATGACACCACAGACCAGGGGGCCTCAAACTGTTTAAACAGGGGCCAGTTCACTGTCCCTCAGACCGTCGGAGGGCTGGACTATAGTTTAAAAAAAAACTATGAACAAATCCCTACGCACACTGCACGTATCTTATTTTGAAGTAAAAAAACAAAAGGGGAACAAATACAGTATTTGTATCTGCATGTGGCCCGCGGGCTGTGGTTGGAGGACCCCTGCCACAGACCCTGCATCCTAAGGCCTGTGTGACGTGGACTCGGTCTCAAACATCGTTATCTCCCCGAGCCTCTCCCCGGCAAACGCCCTGCGGTCACGAGACGCGCTGTTTGTGTGCCGGGCCCTGCCCCGCCTGGCGTCCCTGTGACCCGGTGTCCCCGTGGGCGTGACCTGGGGTGTCCCCATGGGTGTGAAGCGGGGCTCCCGCAGGGCAGGCCCGGCCAGGCACATGCTGCCCTTCCTGCTGCTCAAAGCTGGGCCCCTCTGAACCTGCTCCAGGCCCTGACGCCCGCCCTCAGCCAGACACCCCCTGGCCACTCTTCTGACTCTCCCCGGGGCCCGCCTGCCGGTGGGAGCCCCGCACGACTGCAGAGTCTGGTAGAGACACCCCGACACACCCCTCTGCCCCTAAACCGAAACCACCTTGGGCAGGTGCCACAGCCGCTCACAGCCCCTGTCGCCAGCTCAGCCAGCACCTGGCATTCGACCCAAACCACAGTGCCACCCAATGTGTCCGAACCGCCCGCCCGCACACGGACAGCCTGAGACCCACCAGGCATCCTGGAGCAGGTGGCAGGGGCGGGCGGCTTTGAGGTGGAGTGAGCTCGGGTGCTGGGCAGGGAGGCGGGTCACCAGCCTGCGACTGTCCCAGGAGCCCCTCAGTGACTTCCACCCCAGGGACCCGCGGGGAGCCCCGGGAGGGTGAGCAGCAGGGACTGGCCTGGGCCTGCGCCGGGGCCTGGGAGGGGCTGGGAGCCCCGGCACTGAAGGTGTCTGGGCACCTTCTCCCTCTGAGAACAGCTGCTAGGGCGCCCGGTCCTGGCGGGAAGGGGCCCAGGAAGGAGGCGGCGTCCCAGGCGTGGTGCCAGCCTGCGTGGGGGACTTCTCGCCGCCTCTCAGGATTTATTAGGAAGAAATGCGCTCCACCTCTGAATGTCGCTCGGTGGTGTAAGCATGTTCCTGCGATATTCGGGACGTACTTATATTTAAAAGGCGGAGGGACCCAGGCAAACCAACTCCTCACAGCCTCTGCCGGCTGTTCCCACCGCCTGGCGGCCACCTGTCCCCCCATCCTCGTTCCTGTCGCTAGAAGCACCCCCCCCCCAAAGCAGTTTTCATTCTTCAGGGCACCACCCTTGGGGGGCCGGACTCACAGACATGAAAGGGGCAGTGCGCCCCACGCACCCCCTTGCCTAGGGCAGTGCCGGCGGTTCACGTTGTTTTACCGACGTTTGTTTGTGAGTGTAGGTGCTGTGTGCGCACCCCCAGGAGTGCCCGTGCGTGCGTGTGCACCAGTGTGGGCGCAGGTGCGTGCCTGAGTGTGCACCCCGACCCCGCTGGGCGCAGGGCACATCTCTGACCCCCCCAGAGCCGGGCCACGGCGACGCGGCAGCTCCGTCCTCTCCCCTCCCGGGCGGGTACCCTGCGCCCCGGGCCGGTCTGGCACTGGGAGCCCCGTCTTGGCGGCAAGAGGGGAGTCCCGCGCGAGCTCTTCGACGACCCAGAGTCCAGGTAACCCCTCCAGATGCGGAGCCGCGCCTCGCCCTCCGAGCCCCGCTCCCGCCCGTGCGCCCCTCACCTGCGCCGGCAGCTCCGTCCTCTCCCCTCCCGGGCGGGCACCCTGCGCCCCGGGCCGGTCTGGCACTGGGAGCCCCGTCTTGGCGGCAAGAGGGGAGTCCCGCGCGCGCTCTTCGGCGACCCAGAGTCCAGGGAGCCCCTCCAGATGCGGAGCCGCGCCCTGCCCTCCGAGCCCCGCTCCCGCCCGTGCGCCCCTCACCTGCCGTCCGGCCCGCGCCTGCTCGATGTCCCGCAGCCGCTGGTCTGCGCGCTGCGCGGAGCCGGGACTGGGAGGAAAACTGGCGGCTCCAGGGCGGGGCCGCGGAGGCGGAGGTGGAGGCGGAGGCGGAGGCTGCGGGAGGCGGGGGGGGGGGGGGGGGGGAGGTGAGGCTCCAGGGCGGGGAGGGACTGCCCCAAGTCCCAGATGCAAGGAGGCCCCGGTTATGGGTTATGGGAAGTCACTGGAGTTGCGGGAACTGCCCAGGCCACCGGGAAGGAAAAGTGTTACTTCTTGGCACTGAGTCCCGCATTAGGTCTCATCTCCCGGCGTTAGAGGGGGCGCTGGGGAACGCCCCCCAGAACCGTGCAGGCTGAGGATTGTGGGAAATGCGGTTGGGTTCCCCTGGGGGTGCCGGGGCGTGCAGGAGGGAGTCAGGTGCTCCCTGAACAGGGGGCACCCCCGACCCCACCCGCCTCGGGTGCCAGGGAGGCTGTGCGCTCAGGCCCTGGAAGCCCGTGCCGGTCCCTGGGGGATGCGGGGGGCGGGGGGCGGGTGAGCCCTGCGCTCTGCGTGCAGGTGGGTGTCGTTTTGTTAATCCTGGAGGTACTTTCCCAGTTGCTTCTCCGAGAGCGCGGAGGAGGAGGAGAGGGTGAGAGAGTGGAGGGTGGCAGTTGGATGGAAAGGACAAAGTCCCCCGGGATGTCCCGAAGGGTTCGCCTTGGGCAGATGGGACGAGGCGGGGTCCTCACAGGACCCCCCACAGCACCTGTGCAGGGTGATGTGCGGTCCCCCCAGGGCACAGAGGCCCTAGAGAGGGGCCCACCGGGACCAGAATGCCGCCCAGGTCCTCTCTCAGGCCCAAGGGGCGGGGGGGGGGGGGCTTGTCCCTGGGGCCACCTCCCAAGTCAGCCCGCCCTTCCCTCCAGCAGAGGCCCCTCCGTCAGCGCGCAGCAGGGGCAAGTCCCTGGGGCTGTTCAGGCAGGAGGGCAGTCTGTCCCTCACAACCAGGTGCTGCGGGTGCGAGGCCGGTAAAGCAGTTGATCCGAAAAGGAACCGGCTGGTTCTGCAGCCGCACAAACCCCTGGTCCTGGAAGGGAGTGAGCCAGCTGGTGCCTCCCGGGCTCCTGTGTCCCTCCCTCGTGGACGTGTAACGTAGCAGGAATGTCCTGTGCAGACACGCGCACGCACACGCACACGCATCCATCGCGGGTACCTTTCCTGGTCTATGGGCGCGGGCGAGGCTCCTCCGCCCTGCACACCTGCCTCTCGGGCGTCTCCCTCTTTGTCCGGAGCCACAGCCGGATCACGCGACGTGTGCAGTTTCACTTTCCCGAAGTGCTGGGATTTTTCAGATTTCCGTCAGGATTTCCTGTTGATCTAAACGCACCATCAGCAACTTGTTCTTAATGTTGCTGGAGTGCGGCGATGGCTACCTTCAGTTCCGGCTGCCACCTCCTCTAGCCCCGTCTTCTCCTTCCGCATCCCCCCTTCACTGGCTGCAGCTCTGTGCCTCCACGGTCCTGCACCCCGTCCATTGCTGCACCCCTCCTGTCCTCTGATGACTGAAGCGAGCTCTGGGGCCCCGTCAGGGTCAGTGAGCGGTGCTGATCTCGCACACACTCGTGGCTTCTATCAGCTTCAGTACCCATCACTGAGGCTGGGTTGGAATCTCACCAGGACAGGGGATTAGCAATTTCTCCTTGTAGCCCTGGCCTTTGTTGCTCAGTGGTTAGAGCGTTGGCCGGCGCTCCAAAGGGTCGAGAGTTCGATTCCTGGCCCCGGTTGGGGTGAATGCAGGAGGCAACCATTGATGTTTCTCAAATTGATGTTTTTTCCTCCCTCCCTCCCATTCTCTCTAAAAATCAATGGAAAAAATGTCCTTGGGTGAGGATTAACAAAAATAAATAACATTTCTCCTTGTAATTCTAGCAATATTCAATAATCTATTTGGAAGTTATTTGATGCATAAATGCATTTTTAAATTTATCGGTTTGAGAGAGAGAGGAAGGGAGAGAAGCAGCTATTTGTTGTTGTACTTATTTATACACTAAAGGTCCAGTGCACAAAATTTGTGGACAGGTAGGGTCCCTGGGCCTGGCCAGCAATCAGGGCTGATCTGTGGGGTGACTGGCAGGGTGATCGAGGGGTTCCCTGCTGTCACCCGCCTTGGCTGGCCTGGGGCTGTGGGCAGCTCTTGTGTTGAGCATCTGCCCCCTGGTGGTCAGTGAACGTCATAGCACCCTGTCCTTCTGCCATTCAGTTGATTTGCATATTAGGCTTTTATTATACAGGATTCATTGGTTGATTCTTTTTTAAAAAATATATTTTATTGATTTTTTTACAGAGAGGAAGGGAGAGGGATAGAGAGTTAGAAACAATGATGAGAGAGAAACATCAGCTGCCTCCTGCACACCCTCTACTGGGGACGTGCCCGCAAAAAAGGTACATGCCCTTGACTGGAAACGAACCTGGTACCTTTCAGTCCACAGGCCAATGCTCTATCCACTGAGCCAAACCAGTTATGGCTGATTGATTCTTTTAAAAAATGTTTTTATTGATTTTTAAAGAAAGAGGAAGGGAGAGGGATAGAGAGAAAGAAACATTCATGAAAGAGAAACATCATTGATCAGCTGCCTCCTGCATGCCCCCTACTGAGGATTGAGCCAGCAACTGACCACGAATCTAACCAGTGACCTCTTGGTTCCTGGGTGAACCCCCACGCTGGGCTGTGGTCTTGACCCCCCACAGGGGCATAAGGAGGAGGTCATGTCTGTCCTTGAAACAAATGAGGCAACTCCAACCCTTCCGGACCATCCTGCTATACCCCCACTTCCCACCCACTCCCTGGGCCTGGCCTCCCTCTGGTCCCCAAACAGCAAGACCCCCCCTTGTCTGGTCCTCTGAGCTCAGGGGGTCCTGCGTGACAGGCCCAGCTGGCCATGCAGGGGCGGGCAGGAAGCAGGCGCAGGGACAGTGGTATGTGCGTCCGCCTAGGGTAGCGGGTCTGAGCCAATGCGGCCTTTCCCAGGCCCGGTGGGGCCTGTGGTGCTTTGCTCCCAGGGGGCCTGGCCTACACCCAGACCCCACCAGGCACGGGGTGTGTGGAGCTGAGTTTGGGGTTCAGAGCCACTCCCATGGGATCCTCACCCGCAGGGGCCTGGCGCCCCCTCAGCTTTGACAGCAAATACCCCTCCTCTGTCTTTAGTATTTGCTGGATTGTGTCACTTGGCAAACATTACCCGGGGCTGGGGGGAGCTGGGGCTCGGGGGTGGAGCCGGGACTAGAGGGGGAGATGGGGTTAGGGGGGTTACGGGGCTGGGGGTGGAGCTGGGGCTGGAGGGAAATGGGGGGAGCTGGGGCTGGGGGGAGCTGGGGCTGGGGGGAAATGGGGGGAGCTGGGGCTGGGGGGAAGATGGGGTTGGGGGTGATGGGGCTGGGGGGAAGATGGGGCTGGAGGGAAGATGGGGGTGGGGGTGATGGGGCTGGGGGAGCGAGGGCTATGAGAGCCTGCTCCCTCCTCCCCAGGGACCCACTACCGTGATGGGGTTGCACTGTGTTTACAGCGCCCGCCCGTCCAGGTCAGAGCCTCACTAGCCGCGCTTTCCTCAGATGCCCTCGTCCTGCCACAGGAGTCACGCGTGGGCCCCGATCACACCCCATCAGCCTCTGGCTTCGGCTGCCTGCCTCCAATTCCCCAAACTGCCTGGGAACCAGGACGTTCTGTGGGAAGACACTCACCCCAGCTTAGCTGCAGGGTGGGCGGGTCCCGAGGGAGGCGCCCTTCGACCTGAGGCCCTTCTGGGAGACCCTCCTCCAGCCCGAGCCTGGGGAGAGGACCAGGGAGTTTCCAGAGGCAGCTCGGAACCAGCGGTTCTGACCCAGGGAGACTCCGGGCCGCACCGGGGCCGGGGGAGAAAGACCTTCTCCAGGGCGGCGAGGTCCAGGGGAGGGTCCGGGGAGTCCGTGTGGGAGGGGCTGGAGGAGGGAGCTGGAAAGGAAAAGCGTTCCCACCCCCTCCAGCGCGTTTTCACACCCACAGCAGGCGATCCCTCAGCTTTCTCACACACCAGCTCCTGGCCCCGGGCTGTGCTGGGGAGGAGCTGGGATTAGTCACCAAGGCCATGTGACTGGCACCGCTCCTGTCTGCCCACCTTCGGGATGATCTGGCGATGGACGCGGACGCCCTCCGTCCTTGTCTGCCAGCCAGGAGCACGTCTTCAGGACAGGCCCACAGAGGGGGGTGCCGACTGCCTCCTCTGGGGGGTGCGGTGGGGGGGTTGTGGGTCACTCTTGGCATTGGCTGCACCAAGTTCCCCTCCTGTGGGCCCGAGAACAGGCTGCCGTGTCTGTCCCTCACCTGGTCCCCGCGCGGCCAGTCCTCTGTCTCCATCTCTGCCCGTCGCACCCGGTGGCTCTGTCCTCACAGGGCCGTGGGTCCAGGTGTCAGCGCCAGCAAAGCTCTGGACAGCCAGCCCGGGGTCCGCCTGCCGCGTGTCCCCGGGGAGCCTCGCGGGGTTGGCGTGGAGTAGCCACGTGGGCCGTGTCCCGGCGAGGCCCTGGTCACCTCGTCTCTGGGTGCAGCTTCGTGGGGCCCAGCCGCCCCTCCGCCGGGAGGAAGGGGCTCTGCGGGGCCGTGATGGGGTGACTGCCGTGAAGGCCAGCGGTTTCTGCGTAAGTGCCCGGCACGAGCACCGCCTGCCCCACAGCGAGGTGGGCACAGTTCTGGCGAAGAAGGTGGCCGTGCTGCCCAGGACCGGCGCCCGGGTGGCCGAAGGGGCCCCCACACTCTGGTCCGGAGCTGGCTGCCGGGCGGGAAGGGAAGGCTGAGCCGAGGCCCTGGCCCCACGTGCAGCGCGGGAAACGGAGATTTCATGACCTCCTCCCCGAAGTGCGTCCTGACACCTGGGAACACGGCTTGCTTCACGTGTGGGCAGGCAGCGTAGGCTGCAGGCTGCACGCATTTGTTTAATAGCTTCGTTCTTAGAGGTTTTCTAGGTAAAAACTGTTAGAATCAGGCCAACGTCTTCTAAGAACCTCAGTCCTGTCCCTCGAGCCATGGACATAAAGTTGACTTTTAAACTTTCAGTTTGTCACCGAGAGACACGGCTGGAACCGACGTGGAGGGCCGCGGCTCCGGCGGAGGATGTGAGCGCCGTGCAGCCCAACTCCCCAGAGCCGGACGCCTGGAGTCCCACTTCCGAAGGGGAGAGTTCTCGGCTTCACCCGCGGCCCTGCCGGCATCTGCCGGCGTCTGCCACATGGTGCGCCACGCCCTCCAGGCCCGACCCGACCCCGGCCGAGTGTCACTTTCCCACGTTGCCTGATGTCTTTGAAAAGCTTGGGTGCTAAGGAGCTGGCGTTTTAAGCCGTGCCAGGTGACCCTGGAGTCAACCCTCTCAGCGTGACATGAGCATCGTGTCCGGCGTCTGCAGGCTGCCCAGCCCTGCCCCCCACACGGGCTCCTCCCAGTCCCCAGGGCAGAGACGGCCCCAGGCTGGGCAGCAGCTCTTGCAGCCGAGGGCAGCCGTTGGCCGGGACGCAGGGCCCGGACTCGGACAAGACGCCTGTTTCTCCGGTTCTCGGGGGCTTTCCCTGGACTGGAGCCCAGCCGAGCAGCTGCACCCAGCGATTGGGGCCCCGTCAGCCCAGCAGGAACTTGGCTGCTAGAGGCCGAGACCCTCAGGGACAAGCCAGGCCTCTCCTCACTGGCCTCGCCCGCCTGGAGGTGAGCGCCCTGTGTGAGCGCGGCCTGTCCCGGGGCCTGGCACAGGCAAGCCCCAAACGGGCGTGGCCGTCCCCAGAGCTCCGTTTACAAAGATCGGGACGGGGACCCCAGGCAGAGCCGGGCGGTGCTGTGGGCCGTGGGGACCCAGGCAGAGCCCGGGCGGTGCTGTGGGCCGTGGCCGCGCCGTTTCCTGGGAGTATCATAAACGGAAAGTCACGACCGGACGACAGCGCGGGGTCGGGGCCTCCCGTCCGTCCCAGCCGGACACAGCCCTGCGCCCCGAAACCCAGGCACCTGCCCCGGCCCTGGGGGGCGTCCGCGGGCACACCAGGTGCCCACTCGGACCCACTCGGCGCGCGTGCAAACAGGTGCACAACCCGGCGAACACGCCTGCACCGCACCCTCGCACAGCCTCGCACGTGCTCACACCCACCGCCGTCTCCAGGGCCTGGCCGCTCAGAGGGACGGGGTGGGGGGCTCCCCGGGGAGCGGCTGGGACCTCACCCGGACACAGACCCGCCCCGCCCACCTCACCCACCAGCCGGGGCCCTGTGGGGCGAGGACCTGGGATCCGGCTCAGGAGGCAGCACCGGGCGGGCTG